AAGGGAAGGCTGTTGGGGGGAGATGTTTGGGATTTTTGCTAGAGCTGCTGTGTAACGTCCTTGAATCTATCCCGGCCCTTCAAGGAGAAGGTTTATGGGGCAATTGGGATGCATCATACTCAGATAGAGGCCATGTGAAAATCCACATTCTTCATGTCATGAATAGGTGTGTTCATGAAAACTGGGACAATGGAAACTCTATGCCATAGCCCACCACTGTGTGATGTTTGAGCTCTTTTAGCCAGTGGTTAATGTGGAGGCAGAGGCAGGATAGGTTAAAAACAGACTGGGATTCATTAGGGGCTTTATTCATTGCCATTTAAGCCCAGACAAGGAGAGTGATATTTATTTACCTTAATATAGGCACCTAGTACCACTTGAGATGCCCTGGCAGTTTAGGACACAGTGTGTAGGAGAGACCTTTCTGCTCCTGGAGAGGCAACTAGTGGCATAGTGCGATATCTTACAGCGCGTAAAAGTAATGCTAGATGCTGATATTTAGAAAAGTGGATCCTGCCCTGAAGATGGGATTCAGCCCGCATGTTAAGATACGTAAACTTAGGTGCCTCCATGTGAGCAGGGTCTCTAAGCTCCTGTTAGCCTGTGCAAGCAGAGTTCAGCAAGTTGGTGGAGCCTGGAGAGCTGCTTAGCTGAGTGCGTGCAGGTGTCTGCTTCAATGTGAGCTGAATCTCTCCAGGTTCCCCTGACACTCTTGGTTCTGCTGAGTCAAATGGGAGTTTAGAGCTGTTTCTCAAATGTAGGCACTTACATTCAGATCTCTGATTCTGTGACCTCAACCCTGGCTGGAGGGTGTGATTCAGGTGCCTAAACCTACATGCTTGTTGCTGCTTGAAGGTCTCCTGCCACCTACAAACAGCTAATCTATAAGGACCTAGGTTTCCAACACTTCCACATGGGGCTGGTCCATGAGACACAGTATGTCTGGGATATGCTAGACCTGAGCTGCAGAGAGGTGGCTCCCAACAAGGAACAGCTATGAGTTCAGGTTCGCTTTCCCCATTTCATGGCTGTGCCTTGTTCAGCTGGCTCTAAATCCAGTCAAGCCTGTGCACCGGAGCATGTGTACCAGCTGAGTCCATTCTTGTTGGTTATTTGCTTTCCCATCTCCTGTACAATTGTTGTCTCTTCCGGGTGGAGCAGATGCAAATGGGTTGGGGGAGGTGGAAGGGTTGAGAAAAGCCTGAACTGATGAATGACTGCAGTGTGTTGCCCTTCTGTAAGTATCTCAACAATTTTGCCCAGTTTGCTGATGGTCCGGGCGTGAAATCAGGTATAGGAGCTTTATTTCACATAAACCTAGCTCTCGAACCAGCATAATGTCACTTTACATGAGGGAGAGT